AGCCCCGGGGAGCCAAGCGCTGCTCCTCCCGGTGCAAGAGCTGTGTGCCTGCACCCTGGGGGAAACTGAGGCACAGGCAGAGGGACACCCCCACCGGCCCACGCAGAAACGCTCCCTGCACCCTCACAGAGCGACGTGGGGGGGAAGAAGATCCTGCAGCGCAAGTGGACATCCTTCATGAAGGCACGCCTGGTCTGCTACATCCCCTACTACGAGGTGCTGCGCAGCATCTGCAGCCTGGACGGGGGCGGCTGGGCCAGCACCGTCTTCTACGCCGCGTTCACGCTCTCAGCGCAGGGGGGCAGCAGCCAAAATGGCTGGGGCTAAAAGTCTGCGGCACGGGAGTGGGGGGACCAGAGATGCTGGAGGGGACACGCAGGCAGGTGCTGAGCATCTGGGGTGCGTCGTTGGGGAGCACCCGTGTGTCTGCCTGAGCTCAGGCAGGGCTCTGCCCCCCCAGGAGGACCATGGAGGCCTCAGCCGTGTGCCGCTACAGCATCTCGGGGGTGCAGCACGCCTTCGAGGGCCCCTACATGGAGTACCAGGACTCGGCTCGCAAGTGGTCCCGCTACGACGGTGCGGTGCCTGAGCCCCGGCCCGGCTCCGTGAGTGCCCTGGGGATGCAGAGCAGGGGGGTGCGCCCCTGACCCCCGTCTCCCCCAAGCAGTGCATCACGGACCACTCCCGCAGGAAGGGCTACAACTCCTCGCAGGACCTGCCCAACAGCGTGCTGGACTTCGTCAAGCTGCACCCGCTCATGTTCGAGGAGGTGAAGCCGGCCGGCGGGGAGCCGCTGCTGGTGAAGAAGAGCGTGGCGTACAGCCGGCTGGCCGTGCCCAGGGTGCGGGCCCTCGACGGCCGCACCTACGACGTGCTCTTCATGGGGACGGGTGAGTGTGGCAGGAGTTTGCCAAGCCTCTGCTGGAGACCCCACGCGCCTTCCTGACTCCCCCTCTCTGCTCTCCAGGGAACGGGAGGAGGTGCAGGTGTTCAGCGACCCGCAGCCCGTGGAGAGCCTGGTGATCTCCCACGCCCAGGTGAGGGGTGGAATAACTGGGGGGACACCACACACCACTGCGAAGCTCCCATTGGGCTGTTTGGGGGACGCGACTCCTGGCTCACCCCAACTTGGGGTACGTGCTGGAG